CTACATATGCATGTACACTAGGGTTGTCCAAAAAGGTTAAGTCCGAATTTTAATGCCGCCACTCCCCTAGGATTGTTCTAAATCGATCAAAAGCGTACAGCTATCTTTTATTTTGAAATAAAAAAAAAAAAACATGTTTCGTAGAAATGGTATAGAATTCTTGAAAATCAATATTTTTCGATCGGAAGGCTCAGGCTCTCTTCTGGAGACTTTGGATAGTAATACCCAATTATTTATTTAACCATTTTTTAATACAAACGCTTTTTCATTGCCCCCATCCGATTGCATTTTTTTCAGAGTTTTGGGGGTTTTGGCGGACTTATAAATTATAGTTACCTTGAAAGAAATGGTTAAATAAACAATTGGGTATTTTATTGGGAATCTCCTGCAGAGAAACAGAGTTTGCCGATAGAAAAATGTTGACTTTTTTCCCCCATATAAAATACATGGACAACTTTGAGTTGGCGACCTACAAATATTTTTTTGATTCCAAAATAATAAATTGGGGTATATTTTTTTTTTGTATAGAAAAATCCTAGAGGGTGAGAGCATAAAAATTCCGCCTTTACTTTTTCACAAGCATATTTGGATTACCCTAATATATGTACATACATGCAAAGGCATCTGCTGATATGGATGCAATCGTAAAAATGCAATAGTGCATAGATAAAAGCTTACGAGTATGCGCATACAATACTAAGTAGCGTGTGGTGTACGAACACTTATGACTATTTGAAAGGATCAGCATGCGCAAATTATCCATTCAAGTGTACCACCCACAAAAGGCATTTTAAAATCCACTAAGTATGAACGAAATAAAAATGAAGGAAAAATCGAGTAACATGAGAATCTCATATGCACGAAAAACAGTTGATATCAAGCAACAAAAACAACAACAAAAGCTGCAGCAACAGTAGATATGGTTTTAGTGGTCAGCTCAAATTTTGGATTGACCGCCAGCGTACGTGATGTGTGTGCAGAAATTGCAATGGCCAAAAAGCAAACAAGCAGCAAAATATTAGAGTTTATTTGTGGTTGCTATTGTTGCTGCTGTCAGTACCCGCAATGCAATGTGAGTTTTTATTTGTTGCGCCAATGTGCCAAAAACACGCCAGCTAGCCCCATACGCACACGCTCTCACATTTGGCCACCGGCCTGCTGTGCAGCGGTGCCACGGAAAATTTTTTTTCCTACCAAAACCTACCAAAAAGTTTTTTAAGAATTTAATTTTTTTTTTCTCAGTGTCAAGTTAACCCTTTCGTTGCCTTCAACCCTTCATATCACGGAACCCACGACAGCGTTACGCTATTGTGGGCTCCCAGGTAGCTCAGAAGAGTTTCACAGCTGTCCACAAGCCTTGATGCCGTTTTAAGAGAGTCTATCCGAAACAAATTTTTATGCTAGCCACATTTGCTCTTCTACGAAGACTTCCGCCTGGAATATCGTTGGGTATGTACCCATAGGCAGACTTTCTTGGAATCGTGGTCCAAGTACGCCTGCCACATTTCTTCCGCCGTCCATCTTCGATCTGTCGGTATACCATACTTCAACAATCGTTATTATCGCTTCACAGCAGTCCCTTTCATGAGTTCTGACCTTGTCGGGTTTGTATTTAGAACGATAACTCGGGATCATCCAGGAAGGACTTGAGAACCTCCAAATGACCGCAAGTTCTCCACTTTTCGTGCTGATCGTACTGGACAGCCGCAGGGCTCTCCATCAGCGCCTCTTTTTCGATCAGTAGCAAAGGATCCTGAAGACACCAAGGTGCGCATAGCTCCTCAAACCAGTCGGTGCTGTTTCTCAGTGGGGCACTCGCGTTTACTTGCTTAGCTTTTGGCCACCAGGCAATTGCCGCATATGTAATAATTGAGAGACCAATACGTTAGTTGGGATGATATTCCCCAAGTCTTACCATGAAGTCTCTTACAGGCATAAAACGCACTTGTAGCCTTGTTTGTAACATTCGAGAGATCGAGCCACTGAGTTTTGTTCGGTTCCAGTAATTCGCTTTCTGAGGCTTCCTTGAAGGGCATGTGCTTTGGGTTTTTGACACTAGAATGTGGTATTTCCTGTCGCAAATTATTTCCAACTACAATCAATCTAGCCTCCAACCTACCAAATAGGAGTAAACCTACCAGTTTTGGTAGGAAAAGTTGCTGTGTGGCAACACTGCTGCTACTGCTATTTGCTTCTCAATTGTTTGTTTTGCTCACTGCTCTTGGCCGGCGCGCAGTTGGCTGTTGACTGTTGTTGGTAGTTGTTTGTTAGCTGGTGATGCAATTTCGTTAGCTGCCCATAAATGCATAGATAGCTAAAGCAACATGATAACAACTCTAAAAAGGATGGGTTTTATGTGTAAGCTGCTGCGTTTTTTTTTTTTTTTTGTAATGCAATGCGTGACTTTGCACGCAAGCGTATGCATACTTGTCTAATAGAAATTGTACATACAAATAGATAAGGTTAGTGGTCATATATTTCGTATTGTAATTACCTATGTACATACATACGTAACGGAATATGTATATTTTTATGCATGTCATGTGACCTATTTTATTTAACAAGCTCGTTTAATTAAGGCTTCGTACGTTTTCTTTAATTTGTTTAAGTAATTTATTTGGCAAGCAAAAAACGATTGGAAATTGCTCAAAGTTTTCATAAGAAACCCAAACAAATAAATGCAAACAATGTATGTATGTACGCACATGTGAACTGAATATTTATGACACAATGATAACGGGGTCACTTACAACAAACTAAAACATTATGTTATATAGTCAAATTGGGCTAGACAATTTAAACTATGTAACATTAAACCATAAATTAGGAGCGCTGTTTGAATAGCAATCCTACGTGACTTCAGTTACGGGTTCCTAACGAAAGCACAAGTCGTAATTTTATACTTTTTAATTTTTGAAATTAAGACTCCCTCGTCACATTTTTGCCTGTCTTTTTATTATTATCTATGCCAATTTAATATATTCGCCTATATTACTCTCAATATAATCTATGAAGTCCTTATCGTAAAATTTAACGAAATGTTTATCGAAGTATTATATCATAATCAAGCTTGTTATCGATATATCTTGTATCGATTTCAATTAATTTGAGTATATTTATTAATATCGCTCGGAACAATCATTAAAAAATTTGCGATATTTTTACTGAATATATTTATCTATAACAATATCGATACATTAGTCGATATCTATCGATTTCTTAAGCGTTAGGCATAAAAAATATATTTTATCAGGAATTTCAGTCACTTGGATTCATGTTGAAAGGGGACTGCAGCCGTGATATTACGCAGCAGCCGGTTAGGTAGTTAACTTAGTCGCGGGGACGAGAGCAGTTAGATTCCTCTCCCCATGAGCGTGCTAGGTTCCCAGAGTAGAACTTTTACTCCGCGCGCTATACCGTTTTAAGCGAAAGAGATTCTCGCGACTGAGTAAAGGCAGTACGACCTCAAGAGCAGGCACGAGAAAATGCTGTTGATACCTAGAAAATTTGGTTATACTTTGGAGAGCTGCATAGCCAACCAACGGAGTACGCAAGATGTACAATTAGGACTCCCAGTGCGGTGCGCTGAAGGTCCTAGTGAGGATCCGAAAAAAGTCGCAAAGGAGAATATCCACCTTCTCAATAGAATAGGAAGAAGTGTGCCTTTAGGACTCCTAAATGATCGACTCCATGCGGAAAAGCTCTGCTTAAAATTTTAGCCTTAAATCATCCGAAGATAACCCAGATGGAGTGTGTTGGAAGTGCTCCGATAATAGACCAGGAGGCTTACGGTTTCTCAAATTGCTTCGAATTTTATTTATAATTAATAAGCTCTGGCCCGAGCAACATCTAACTTAGAA